AAGAGCTAAATCATTCGAAAGGTTCAAACCAGGGTTGCGATGCAGGCACCTATGTACAGGTGAGAACCGTACAATTCCTCGATAATTTATAACGTTTTTATAACAAAACCATACAAATTTTAATAAAACCTCACAAATTGTCAAGGAATTGTACGGTTCTCACCTGTGCACAGGTGCCTGTATCGCAACCCTGGTTCAAACTACACTTTAGATGACGTTCTTAAACTAAGTCATGTGCTATCCAAAAAAATATTCATGATTTAATAGAAGCCAATGCCAAAATATCTCCCAATGACATTTCAGGTACCAAAAGCTAATGTAAAAGCACATTATAATTCAATTTTCCCTCAATCTTCATCGATCACATGTCTGCGTGACCTTCAAAGTAAAGAACCAAATTCTATATCAATATCAAATGTCATAATATTAAGATCAGAAGCGACAAAAGAAATCAATAACAAGTATCAGCATCAGCGAGACACATAGCAACAAAAATGGGAGACAATAAACAAGAGAGATAGACAGACGTACAAGTTACAAAATGTGTCACATATCAATGTAAAAAAAATTCAATCTATTGTAATAATTGAAAGTGTTTTTCGCATGTCTGCGCATGCCATTGTAACATTTTCCTTTCATCTTTAACTGCCTTTAATATTCCATTTTAAACTCGACGATGATGTTGATGCTTTGATGTAATTTAAGATATCTAATGTAATTTTAAGTGACTAATTAACGCATGAAATTGTGAACATTAAAGCTTACTTGAAGGTCAACTTTCTTTGTTGTTTGAGTTTGGGGATGTTTACAAATGATGTCTTTAGAATCCCTTCCCCTCTCTTCGTTGAATAATAATCAATTTCTTTTGTATTGAACTGTCACAAAATCTAAGAAGCTTCCATGTTAATAGACGTCATAAGTGATTGACCCCAGTTAGAAAATTCGTGTGCAATATGAACGATTTAAAAAGTAATATTTAAAACTGTTATGCATTCATGACATTATGTTACTTGATGATGAGTATTATTACGGTCATATAACAAAACCCAACATTGCAATTTCACTTTCATGAAAAATCAACAATTAGATGCCGAATCGAGGAAGTTCTTTTTTTACTTTTATTTTAATAACGTATTTTGTATTTTTTCATGCCCGGATTCCTCAATTTGCATGCAACTGAACTATAATAGTGAAACTTTTTTTTGGCACAAGCTTGTAGATTTATAAGCGAATGCATATTAAGCTGTTTGGAGTTTAATTACTATCGTCACAATTAAGTTTTGTTAAGCATTTGTTCAACTAGCTCGCAGAGCATTGTATTTGCTGAAATAGGTGATTATTTTTTGGGACATAGAGAAAGCCCGAATAGCAATCAATTAAAATCCAGCACCATGCCAGAGTCACACCTGCTTGGTGCCGGATTTCTGATCGATAAACCGACTTGTGCCATTCGGGAAGAGCCTCTAAATTAAGGAAATTCTAATAGGAATCGAACCAATGCCCTCAACAAAGGAAAAGATTTTGAGTTTTTTTTGTCGCCTAACCATTCAGTTACAGAGAACTTACTCTAGCATTAGCAGATTTGCCAATTTGTAATCCAAATGGATGCTCCACGTGACAATTTAGTCATCAAGCCCTATTTTCATTGAACATTAGCTTCGTAACTTCACAATAATTAACAATCTGCAATAAATCCTTGAATCTTCGACTCCAAACCATCATGCGCTCCATGTCACATGAAAAATCCACAACAATTTTTACTCATCCACTTATCTGCAAAAAACATTTTTGCCACAATTTTGAAAATTCGCACTCAATTTTAATTCAATTGCATGAAAGAGAGTTCGTTTTACTTACATACATTAAACATATGTTAATGAAGATGCGTTTATGTAATTAAAAAAACACTTATAAAATATACATACGTGATTTTTTTAGGATTATTATTAATTGCACTACCGTAAACATAATGAAAGAAAGAAAATATGGAAAAGAAATTAAGTAGTTTATGGTGATTATTAAATGCAAGAGTGGAAACTATCGTTATACATTTTTATATAGACTCGCTTTTTTTGGTGTTTTGGGGTTGTTTACAAATGAGGGGAGGTGAACATTGGATTGGTGGATCCTAAGAAGTTATCATGATATTTTTGAGGAATGTTCTTCCACTTCTTAACCTTCAAATGTGACGAATCTGAGTGTACAGTCGAGAATTCTTAGATTCAACACAAAGCAAGCTTGGCATCGTCAACAACTCTATTTTAAAGGACATTGTCCTACCCATCATTTGCAGATCATCCCCAAGATTCGACGAAAAAAATTGCTTTCTTAAAGCATTCACGATCTTCTTATCCACGGGTGGTAAATGAACTCGTATGGAAATTTTTTTAAAAGCTAATTTTAAAAGGTAATCAAAAAAAGTTATGGAAACGATGATAAAAGCTGATTTTGCAAGATGCTGCAATTTGCTGAGTAATAGATTTAAAAAAGTTATGAATACACACAATGTTGCATGCAATTAGATTGAGCTCCATTGAGCTCCATTTTTCTCGTCTAATTTTATGTCAATCATGAAAAAATTAATAAATCGCAAAAATTAAATTTCGTAAGTTTTTTTTCAATTTAATTTGATTGACTTTCTACAAGTTTTTATAAATCTATCAATCATTCCGAAAATAAACATTCAACAGACATCAATTTGTAGACTATAATGACATCATCGACTGCTTGGATTTCCCTTATCTTAACTCTAACCTTGGAAAAGGAGAAAAAGGAATGACTGGTAACATATTTAATGCTGGTCATACTGATTGGACTTGAATAAAATGAACGAGAGGAAAAAAAAAACAGATCAGACATAACTTAATACAATATTTCAGTCTGTCGGTCGACCTACATTACGCCATTCACCATTATCTCATTTCATTTCTTTTGAATGGACAATAAGTAAAGATTATCGTATTTTTAACACGTCTCGATGGCTTCGTTGAATGCTTAAATATTGAAAATTGAATATTGGAATTTAATTAAATATGCTTAATTGATGATTAATTAAATAACAGAAAGAAAATGTGGCGTTAGGCATGAAGAATGCGGAAGAAATTAGACTTAAGCTTGCTACTGTAAACTTGATTCTAAAATTAAATTTCATTTCTTTAGTTGCTGTGGAATGATTTAGTGTCAATTATGTTTTAATGTTGAACCTGAGAACTTCTTGCATAATAATCAAGCCACAATTTGTGGACTATTTTATTTGGACACCATTACAACTTAAGATATTATTTTTTCTGTGAATTTATTATATAGAGACGTTGAAGGGGGGGGGGGGGGGGGGAATTCCTGGAAATCCATTGTTCTTTTTTGAAAAATGACCATTAATTTTGGACGTCATAAATGACCGACCCTTTATGGTGCCGTTCACTTATTACGTAACGCAAAAAAACTCCTTTTACACCCCCCCCCCCTCTCGTAACAAAATTTGTATGAAAAAAAATTTCTTTTGTTTGAACCGTAACAAAATCTTAGACACCCCCTCCCCCTAAAAGCGTTACGTAATAAGTGAACGGTCCCTATGTCTATGTTAGATTTGCGTTTCAAACTTAAAGAATTCAAACCAAAGAAGATCGAAGTTAAAAGAATCAAACTAACCATTTCGGCCTGAGCCTTGCATACGCACTTACAACATCGTCTATATATTGTTCAAACTCACATTCTACTCTGACACAGCTGATATATTAAAGTTTGATTATACGAAAAATTAATCAAAATTCAAAAGAAATAGATTCAAATATTAAATTAAAATTGTACAATAAATTCCACGCATTCGAGGAAATGGAATTATAAGTATGTATAATGACTTAGTCATGTTTAAAAACGATTTACATGCATTATTCAGAATAATATTTTATTCTGTTGTATTTAGGATGTATTAAGCTTTTTTGAATGAAATTTAATAGGGTGTGAAGTTAAAGAACTCGAACATATGTAGTTACAGCATTTAGGATCAAATAAGTTTCTGGATATCATACTTGAAGCTGAGGTGTGTTTGTTACTAATATATCATGATGATGGAAACATTTAAGATTTCTACTCAACTAATTGCTCGATAGGGGCAAGATTCTTTGGGTTTTCTAGGCACTACCATAGTCATAGTAGCATCTTATTAATCCTTCAAGGTGTAGTGCATTCAAGGGTCGTACTAGTAATTGATTTTTATCCAGATTTGGAACAAAATAAGCATAAAGAAAGCTCAAAATGATTAAAAGTGTAAAAACATCTCAAGTTTACCTTCGGGGATTGAGATGATACTCATTTCATGGCGCCATTCCATTAGTCAACTAATTAAAATTATGGCAAATTATAAAGCTATCAAAAATTTATGATGTCTCCAAAACTGCTAGCTTTCTTGTCTTTTTATTCATTATTACACAATCGAGCAGAAATTATAAATCGATTTAAAAAAATCAAGACCACAAAATCTACATATATCACCTCAAATCAGCCTCAAAACATTTCCCCACCTTTCACTTAAACGTCATTTATTGCCAATATAGATGTTTATGTCCAAAGAAAAGCAACAAAACATGTCATAATGATGTAAAATATCAACAATAATTGAAAAGTGCAACTGGTAGCAATAATCGAAACAAGCAAATTGCTTCCCCCCTTTTCAATAGTTTATCAGCTGTTGAAGCTTGTTTCACCTTCCAAAAAGATTAAAATCAGCAACAAAGCCTTCCGTGAGTCTCACACTTGAGCTATCAGACAGGCAAATAAAAGTTCTAGAAATGCAAATTTGACTGAAAGAAGAAGTTTCCACTTCTTCACTCACTTCCTTCCTACAATTATCGATTACGTCAGACGTAACTTGATTTTCAACTTGCTCTCTTTTGCTTTATTTGCGCGCATTTTTTGTTTCACTTTTGCTTTTATTTCTCTTTGATTGTAGACGAAAAGAAACACAACAACAGGCAAAGCAGCTCACAAACTTCAATTGAACTTTTACGGCTGAGTTTAGCTTTTTGTTGTTGTATTTTAAAAAAAAATATTATTTTTTTTTCATTATTGTTCGCTGCAATCCATCTAAAGGCAACCGCAGCAGATTCAAGATTTAGTTACGATCGAGCAGTCAAACAATTATATCGTTGGATATTATTTTTTATTTCGAGCTAGTTGCGGTGAATTTTTTAAAAAAATAAATAAAATAAGTTAAAATTTCTGGCGAATTTTAAAAAAGTGAAGAAAAAAAATTAAAAATCATGAAAAGACTTTTAGTTCAATTAATTGCAATTCTGCCAGTAATTAACTGCTGGACACCATTAGTGACACATCCAGCATCATATTCAGTACAACATTCATATCCATCACTGGGAAGTGAGACTGAAATTCTTAAAAAATCAAGTAATGAGCTTTTCAGTCACGACACCTCCGTTGATCATCTGTTTGAAGCATTCCATGCTAAATCCAATGAGTATAGTATTGAATCTCCCAGTGTAAGTGCACTCAAAGTTAATGATGGAAGATATTTAAGTGCGAAAGCATTGCATTTTAGTAGTAACAGTTTTAATGGAAATTTCTACGACGTAAGTAACTTTTGGTGATGCTTTCAAAATTGTACTTCAGAATTATAATAATCTACTTATTCATTCTTCTCATTCATGCTTACTACTTCACTTATTTGCGATGCGCTCTTAAAGCTTTTTATCAATAATTCATTTTTTCTTCTTTCTCTCATTCTGTTCTTACAACATCCATCAAACTTACTTATTCATCTTGTTACTTGAAAGAGCAACTTTCATTGTGTGACTGTCGATGGATATTTTTTTTTTTTTATTATATTTTTAACTTTTTCCTTTCTTCGTTCTTGACTTTTCTTTTTGTTCGTCTTAAAGGATGCTTGTGCCTTCGATAAATTCGCAATTGATCATGAATCGACAATCGATTATGATGCAAGCTCGTTAAAGACAATGGATCAATTTACACTTTGCTCGTGGGTGCGCTTTACAAAGCACGATGGTGATCATGTTCTGTTTACTTATTCAGGTGAGTTTTATTTTGGGGATTTTTTTTTTGATAATTTTGGAAGTGAGAGTGAGATTTATAATTAAAAATAAATAATATGTAAATTTTATGCTGAATCAGCTGAAGAAAAAAATTAGTTTAAAGAGTGAACTATCAATCACGTCCAGTTTAAAGAGATTTGTTCCTCAATGCAATATGGAGACAATATCAAGAGTGCGGAACTGATAAATTATATTTTGATAATTTTTGATCGATTTTGATCAATTTTGATCAATTTTGATCATTTTTGACGATTTTTGATCATTTCATCAGTACCACACCCTTGTATAAGATTCAATTCAAGATAAACTAGACCAATTAGCTCAAATAGCCTTAATTAAAGTAGCTAGCTTTAGCTGTCAAAAGCATTACCTTAACAAAATATCAAAATTCAATTCTAATTGCTATAAAACTAGCTTCAATAATTGTACTTCACTCTGAGATATTTGCTACCTCCAAGCTTCATGACAAGCTAATTCAAAAAATAATTATTCATAAAAGAATTCAATCGACAACGACTCTTAAACCTTCTAAGATTATTCTAACATATAAAATTCTTTAGCAAACAGAATTTATTGATTGCAAAATTATATATCTACTGGGGGTCCTCGATTTGAGTAGGTGTTTTGTTCCAGAACAATCCTGTTCAAATCGAAACTACTCAAATCGAATTATTTACTTTTTGTATGAAAAATGTCCGTTACAAAAATAAATTTTAAATTTTTTATTCATTAATTTTCGTTACTCAAATCGAATCTATTCAAATCGAGGACCCCCAGTATTGTCATAGGTAGAAGTAGCTATAAAATTATCGACTAAAAATGTTTGCACCTGATAATTTTAATGATGATTAATTATGGACTAGATCATTAATGAAACTTTTGTGGCGTTAGAATATCAATTTAAATCAGACCAGGATCTACATATGCTGACTTGCACAAAAAAAAAATTGATTGCTTGTCGTCAAGTCGAAGCTCGTGATACTCATGTAAATTTAATGAGATTCAATGTTCTCGCTTGTTTATTTTATTGAAAGGAACTTTTCTGCTTAATTGGATAGCATTCAATGAGGCTTCATGTTTCTGTGCTTCCCAGAAAGCTTTCAAATTTTTCTATTGAAAAAAATTCACAGAATTCAAATTCAAAACCTTTAAAAAAATTTATGGGAATTTATGCATGTATGATAAGCCATCCACAAAAAAGAGTTCAAACTTACTTGTTAAATCTGTCTATGTCTTCATATTAGCTAGGATATAAATCCATCAATCAAATCGAGAACATTGTAATACAGCTTGTTCATACAGCATGTGTACAGAAAGAAACATCCTTAACATACAGGAAAATATGTTAATGCTATTCAGAACTTTTTTTACGATTCACATGGAGTCGCAAACTTTTGAGCCAGAGAAAATCTCTGATAAAAATTTACTACAGACTTTTTTTTTCTTCGTTGGATTGATTTGGGGGGGGGGGGGGGGTGGGGCATGACATGGGATGATGTCTATACAGAAGTTCAGCTGCTTGGAATTTTGTGAATAAACTGAATAAAATCCAGCAACCCCTCTCCTTCCTGTACCCTCACGAAAAATCTCTTTTTTACTAGACGTCATTTATCCTTGTCCCCCATTCTTTATCTCGAAATCGGAATTTTTTTCTGCATATCAGGTTCCATTAAACATATGATTAAGTTACTTACTCACTTTTTCATTTGCCATTTGTATTTCACGTACATACTGCAGAAAAAATTACGTAAAACTTTCTTTCTCGTATTTTTATTTTGCTTCTTTTTGTTTTACTCGCTTGATTATTTCATTTTCAAACATGACTCGAGATAATTTTTTTACGACTGTTTGTCGATTATTGACGATTTCCTACTGTTTGTGTTTATCTTCATGCTGATGGCATGAGACAAAAGTGAGAGATAAAAAGCAGTGCAATTAAAACATTTCCCATTAATCTTTTGTGGATTTTTTTATGAGCGGTAAATAAATAAATCTTTGTTGCTAAGCAGCCGCTAGCAATTATGATTTAAATAAATTATTTTTTTTTGCTGAGTTCCTTAATTAGGATCGTAAATAATTTAAATTTGTTATGAATTTTTGATGTTTTGCAAAAATGTTTGAAGACAAATAGCTGAAAATGCGTAAAAATATTCGATAGCCCGTACCTAATAATTTATACAATATAAACTCTTGATTAAAAATTCAATAAAAGAAGCCTGAAATGGATCAGAAAATGATTTATTATTTGCAAATTACCCCTTAAAGACATGAAATCATTTATGCGATATTTAATAAATATTAAAGACTTTTCAAGTTTAAATTAATTGTTGGCACAAAAAGACTTGTAATGAGTTTGTAAAAATGTCTATTAACTAATTAGGTAATCAAATTAGAATTCCGAGCTGTGAATGAATTTAAAACGTGGGTTTTGAGTTTTGTATCAATTTAAGCAATGCCTTGCTAGGCTGCAACCTAGATTAGATCAAATTTGAATTTGGATTCAAACTGTTATTAACAGCAGATCCTAGTTTTTAATTGAATATATCTAAAATGTAGACATACGTGTCATAGCAACACCTCCTTACTATAAATTTTAATGACTTTTGATACCCTTGAATTTAATCAAATTAACACATATAAAATGTTAAATACACTTCAAAGCGACAATTTAAAAATCCTCAATTAAAATGCTGCAAAGACAGGAATTACATCAGCATGTGTTACTACTAAACTGCTTGAATATATGAATTCAATTTAAAAAGAATTCAATAAAATGTAAAATTTAAATCAAGAAATATTTCTGGTTTTTAAGCAGAAAATTTGAAAAATATTTAATTAAATGTTCATTTATGTGCTTGAATTTCTGTAAGAAGAATTTAATTAAATTTAAATATTTTCAACTTTTGTTGGTTCCTAAATTGAGTTTAAACAGACTTTGAAGCAGGATCTGGATTTTTTTGTTAAAGCTGATATTTGAGAATCAAAAGCTTTATTCATCGGTTACTGAATTGAGGTCACCGCCACATTAATTTTAAATTTAAATCTCAATCCTCAAAAAATTAAAATATTCATTATGTCAGTGAATTTCCGACACGACACAACTAAATCTCATAAAATATTTAAAGCACGACAGAAAAAAATTTAAATTTTCGTATCTTACTCTGCAGTGATTAAAAGCAAGTCACTGTAAGTATTTAATTACACTGATTTTAATCTATAAACCTTGAATAAACTTTTCTTTCTCTTAATCCACTTGTTCTTAATCTATAGACAGTGATTGTTGCTATGTAAAGCACAAATGAGGTGCGAAAGAATGTGATCAATGCTCAACTTCAATTCCTACTGTAAAATTCACAATATCATAATGACAAAAGATAAAAATGTTGACTTTAAGTCATCCCCAGTGGTTGAAATGTTTTTATTTATTAATCTCGAGAGACTTGCAGTGGGAGATTATGCAATAATTTTTAATTATTTTTGCTGCATTAAATGAAATTGAAGTAGAGCTTTTTTTTTGCTCTTGTAGAGTTGTGGGTTATTGAATGAACAATTCACGGGTGGTTGGAGATGAATGAAATGGAATAATGCAGATAGACATTAGAGAAGGTAGATTTTTATCATTATGTGAACATCCTATAGTCTATAGAGAGATTGTAGGAATGTGTTGTGGATAATGTTGTAGGAATTCTGTTAGTCGTCGGTTCATGAACTTTGCCTGGGGATTAAAAGAGCTTTAAATGCTTTAAGGAATGTTTTTTATTAATTTATTGGGGGATAAGATAAAATCTTGATTATTTTTTGATAAGTCTTTAGCTAGAGATTGTAATCGATTGTGCATCCTATTCAAAAATACAGTGACTGTTGTTTCAAACCTGTTGGCTTGTTTTGACTTTAACTTGAGTGTTTAAGGAGGTTTGAATCTTGAAAAAATGGTCAGAAGGGTTTGAAACTTAATTTAAGGGTCTAGAAGAGTTCAAGAAGGTCTTAAAGAGTCTAAAAAGAATCCGAATCTTCACTATAGGAGCTGAAGAGAGGCTAGACTTAGAATGGAGGGTGGTTCTAGGAGTTTTCGACTCTATCTAGATACTAGATTTTAATCGAAAGATTTTAGACCTTAAAAGGAGGTTTGGGAGGTTTACAAGCCTTAAACAGGAGGTCTAAACCTAACCTTACTCAATTTCTTTTTCTCCAACTTTAGAGCTTTTACTAAATTTCAATCATATATGAATACTAAAATCATGCCTATATGATAGCCGTTTTAAAAAAATACTTTATAAAAAAAACTTTTTAAAAAACTACGTTTTTCGCGTAGACTAAAAAGTAGAAAATAACTTTTATTCTTGGTTGTAAAGAATTTGGTTTTAAATTTTCAGATTATATTTAATAAATTTTTATATCCTAGTCAATATTGTTCACAAAGTTTCGAATAAGTGCACTTTGATCTTATCGTATAACTCAACAACTTAAAAACGTGGGCGCATTAATTTAAGTTTATCATAAAGTATTGATTTCACATAAACTTATTTCTCCTCTTATAATGCGCCCACGTTTTTAAGTTGTTGAGTTATACGATAAGATCAAAGTGCACTTATTCGAAACTTTGTGAACAATATTGACTAGGATATAAAAATTTATTAAATATAATCTGAAAATTTAAAACCAAATTCTTTACAACCAAGAATAAAAGTTATTTTCTACTTTTTAGTCTACGCGAAAAACGTAGTTTTTTAAAAAGTTTTTTTTATAAAGTATTTTATTTTCTACTTTTTAGTCTTATTCTAATGAAATAGAGAAATAAAGATTATAGGGGGTTTATAGGTTACAGGTGTGTTGAACTCCACTTCGTTGCACTTCGTTACGTTCAACTGTTTATAGATTACAGTAGGTTTATAGGTTACAGGTGTGTTGAACTTCACTTCGTTGCACTTCGTTACGTTCAACTGTTTATAGATTACAGTAGGTTTATAGGTTACAGGTGTG